ACCGTAATAATTAGTAACTTACCATGTTTTTATTAAATTGTGATCACATTAAATTTAAAATGTTTAATGACATGACACCCATATCTGGTAATTGCCTAAAAAGACGGGTTAATGATGTGCATAGTGAATTGAGTGCACTAACATTATGCTACTTGTAGCCTTACCCTGGAGTTTGACATGTTTCCATAAGCAGAACTTAGTCTTCCCCTGGCCAAGGGTTGGAAATTAATGGGGGCTAGGGGCAAAAATGTCACCAAAATGCCCCTGCACAATTAAACAAAATCTATTACGACTGTCACAAATAAAGTGAAAATTAAAATAAAATGAAAAGTGTGGACTATGGCATTAAATTTAGATCTGCTCAAGCTGCATCAGATTTCTTTTTACTTGTTTTTACAGCATTCAGCATTATAATCAATAACACACGATTCTGTTGAGTTTATGAATGCAATGGCCAATCAGAAGCTTTCAGATGAGTCATCGCTGAAACGCCGCAGTTTAGTTTAGTGCGCCCGCTCACTGACTGAATTCTGCTCTCTCGCGAGTTCTCTCATCATAAACAAACTGCAGATTTACGTACATAATCTATACGTATGTCAGTAGTGTACACAGCTTCATCAATTATAACGGAGGTTTTTGAGAGTGCCAAAACTCTCAAAAGTGAGTGATAATGTTCTTTGATAATGTAAACGCTCTTTGCTCTTTTTCTAGACATAATGTACTCGCTGTCTGAATAACCATGGAATTGAAACCGTAATAATTAGTAACTTACCATGTTTTTATTAAATTGTGATCACATTAAATTTAAAATGTTTAATGACATGACACCCATATCTGGTAATTGCCTAAAAAGACGGGTTAATGATGTGCATAGTGAATTGAGTGCACTAACATTATGCTACTTGTAGCCTTACCCTGGAGTTGGTTCATCCTCCGCCGATGGATGTTTTCCCACTGTTCCACCAAGACATTTGCAAGTTCTTGAACACATCTGGGGAGGCACATCAAGTGGTTTATCAATGCAAGGATGATCAGCTGTCCTTCCTATCTACCTAAAACTGTTTAGTCGTCTTACATTATGGACATTACAGTTATAACTGTGACCTTTATTGCCTACCACCTGTAAACCGTAAGTGTCTTAAGGACAGTTCCATGGGTGCATGTGTAATAAGTTTTTATAGTTCATTGAACAAGTATTAAAAATATAGTTTAAACCCTCTCCAATAAATCTGATCTGTAAACTATCTGGATTTGGATACTGTATCTTTAAAATAGCCTACAGTATCCTGAAAATTTGACTTTTTTTGTTATTGCTGAATATGCATGTAATATTTTCACATTGCAATCGAAATTAACTAGCTTTATTATCATAAAAAAGAAGGGAATGAGGAAATAAAAATAAAAAAGCGATGTTGTGAGACTGCTGCCCTCTGGTGGCTGTAAGTCACGTGAAAGATCCAAATGAAATGTGACTTAGGTTTTGCCACAAGAGGACAGTAACCTTGCGTAACCTCCACAGCTGCATTGCCTTGAGTGCATACAACGTTTATTAATAGTTTTACTATTAATTCCAATAACCCTTTTTTATAGTGCGCATGCTGTTAATGATTACTGATATGTAACAATAACTATAGCCTATATTTGAACAGTGCTGTTGTGTTGTAGTTCATAACGAGGCATCAAAATATGAAGAGCTTTGAGGACTGAATAGCAATATTTATATAAAAATAAATTGTTAGATGTGTATTTAAAGTGATTGTTTTTGTCATCTCTGCAGCCTTTTTTTGTAATCTTAATTTTTGGCAGGTAACACCAGACAAAGAAATAGCTCTTCTCAGTCTCTTCGACTGCTTCCATAATTCACCCACAAGATGGAGACTCTTGTTTATGTCTTTTGTTTCTTTTTATCCTTGCTGTTCTGATGTTTTCATGCTAGGAACTGGGGAAAGATCCATCTCACATATCGAAATACTGTGTATGCATGATAACTGAAATGCGGATGAATTGTAAAGCCATGTTATAGAATGAAAATGAATTTAAATAGCATTTAATTTAATATCCAACAATGAAGAGACATGGTTTGAAATTCACCCAATCTGGCAAACAATAATTCCATTTTTTTATTCTAGCTAAGGCAGATATTAACAATGGTTAGGGAGTAACTCAGCCTCCTCATTGGGTTTATTAGTAGTTGTTTATTTGTAAAAACAACTTGATAATGATTCCAAAAAAGGCAGTTTGTGCCAGATGAATGATCAAATACCCTTGTCTCCTTTTAAACCTGCATAGTGCCATGTTGTTGCTCATAAATAAATGTGGGATTCAATGCCAGATGTTGCCCAGTCCGGCCAATTCTTAAGGTTTTTCTGTGTTAGTTGCAGAAACAATAGTGCGGGTGCTCTTATGGAGAAGGGGACAGATGGGGTCCCCTCTTCAAACAATGTGTGTAGAGTGGGGGAGGGTGTTATGCATTGAAAGTCATCCTCGACGAGATATCACCCTTTCACCAGTGTGACAGAGGGGGGAAAACTGCACGGGTTTATGTGAAAGCTCATAAACCCATATTGCAGGAATGGAGAGCTTTAGCCACCGCCATCTGTCTGAAATGAACTTTCATGGTATGTAAATATGGACTAATGAAGTCTATTATTTTTGTCAGATTGGGTGCATATATATGGTGTATTTATTCTATACGGAAAATAAATACAAAAATGAAAAAAAAAGATTTAAATATTAAAACTATGTAATATATGTAAATTGTTTATATAATATTATATATTACATAATCAATTCTGAAAATAACCATTTGTTTGTTTGTTTTGCAAGAATGAGTATCGAATAAACGAAATATTTGCATTTTATTCTGTTTATACAGGTTCTCTGAGGTTATTTTTTATCCACAGCATCTACTTGTATCAGTTAAATGTTACACCGAGAAACACCAGATAAAAAATATATATTGTATGTGAAGATGCTAAATCATTCTAATCTGACTATTTCCCCAATCCCACACTATATCAGGCCTGTATTTGATTGCAGATCCATGGAAGCACACTCCATTTTTAAGCAATAGCATCATGTATCATAATTCTCACATTACTGAAGCTTTTGTGGTCTAAATAAAATAATCACCCATTTTATTTCATGAGTAATGAGCTTTTCTAGAATGCGACGGGTAGAATAAACAATGCAACTGACTTTGATTGTTTCACATTGATTGCATTTCATGGATGGCTGGACTCAAAAGAAAACAAGTGTTTTATAGTCATTTATTTTGCTCAATTTCCCCCCAGTAAATAGGAGCCAAATGTCTCAGTATCGGTTTGCCACATCAAACTGAGCATAGGCCTATGTATTTCGGATGACACTGGCACACTGCTGAGTTTTTCCACAGAAATGTGAAATTGCGTGAGGTGGCTCTTTGTGTGCATGCAGTAGACGGCGCAGCATCACCTTGATGCGAATCTGGAATAAGAGAAGTGCTCGCCTCTGGCCCTGTGTTGACACAGGAGGAGTGTGTGTGACAAGAGGATACAGAGAGTCTTAATGGGCACTGAGGACACTGTACTGTAAAAAATGTTTTCACTATAGAACAACATCTTTGCGTCCATCCATTTAATATGTATTTATAGTAATTTATATTCAATGTAAAAGTATTTTAAACAATTACGTTTTTATTAGTAATTTAAATACAGTTTTAAGTTCAAATACTGCATTAATCATCAACATTAGCATCATCATCATCTTAAATTAAATTGTTAAATGTAATACTACTACTACTACTTATAATAAAAGTAAAATTACTTGGGCTGCAAAATGATTGATCGCAATTAATTGCATTCAAAATAAAGCATTTGTTTACATACTATATGTGTGTGTACTGTGTATATTTATTATGTATATATAAATACACACATATACATGTATATATTTAGATTTTTTTTTACATTTATATATAAAATATTTATATACACACATATATGTGTGTGTATTTATATATCCATAATAAATATACACAGTACACACACATATAGTATGTAAACAAACTTTTATTTTGAATGCGATTAATCGTGATTAATGGTTTTGCAGGCCTAAAAATTACATAAATGTTATTGTTTATATAATTGTTTGTATTTAATGTACTTATTATTATAATTATTATTAATAAATAACAATAATACAAAATGCATAATAATAATAATAAAATTACAGTAATGTTATTATTGTTTAATTTGTCAATTATTAATATTACTGCATTAATAATAATAATAATAATAATAAATTAAATAGTTCAATGTAATACTACTTCTACTACTAATAATAGTAAAAAATAAAATGATATAAATTAAATGTTGTTTAATTTTGTATGTAATTGTAATTATATTGTATTTATATGATTATGATTATTATTATTAAGTAATAACAAAATGGCATAAAAATGAAAATACATAAATAATTTGCCATTTTATATGAATATTATTGCATTAATAATAATAATAAATTCAATAATTAAATGTACTACTACTACTACTACTACTACTAATAAAATTAAATCGTATTATTGTTTATTTTGTATGTAATTGTTATTTATATTATTAAGTAATAATAAAATGGCACAAATATGAAAATAAATAAATGTACTACTACTTCTATTAATAAATAAATAAAATGACAAAAATTAAAAATACAATAATAATAATAAATAAAAGTACAAATCACATAACAATAATAACAATCATTATAATAATATTATAATTATTATTGCCTAATAATAAAAATATACTGTCGTATAATTGTGGATCCCTGCGCCTATTTTACAGTGATGCTCTCGCATTTTCATCACCGCCGCCACCTCCTGTATTGTCATGTGACAAGCAGGATTTATACCTTGCTTTGCCGGAGAAAAATCAAACCTCGACCAATCACAGTTCGAGGTGGGCGTGTCTGCTTCTCCACATTTGACAGCCGCGGTCTCGGCTCCACATGACGTCACCCGCTGCCCTGAGCTCCAGCAGAAACGCGCAAAGATGCTCTGAAAGCAAGACTGCAGCATCTCCGAGTCAGAGCCTCCAAAAACATCGCATCTCCTCCAAGCGCTCGTCCATCCAGCTCTATCTGCAGGGTTTGCCCACCTGCATGCGGGATCCGCTGTTTTTGTCTCTCGCCTCTTGTACATTTCCCGTTGCTATTTATTATCCGCGCACATCTTCCCAGTTTTTAGCAGTGAATCTTTTGAGTTCTGCTGACCACTGAGGTCATAGATTGTTTCCAGCAGGAGAGCGCCATCGCAAGCCACGAGTGAGGACGTGTCCCCACATCACTTCTTATTAATATCAGTGCAACCTGAGCATAATCGAGCTACTGGATATCGATGCGTCTTTCGTTCTGTATCTAGGCTGCTACGGAGGATCGACGCAGCCCACACATTCATATCATCGTGGTTTCACATTTAGAAACGACCATATCTGCGTATCGCGTCTAGGGAAAACGAGAGCGAGCCTAAAGCTTCTTTATAAAAAATGATGGCCGGTGGGGCAGTGCAGCAAAACGGGATTTTCTCCAATCCGCATCATCACAATCAGCAGCCGCACATGGAGTCTGATCCCCCCGATTCCCGCAAAAGACCCCTGGAGACCCCAACGGAGGCCAGCAGCACCAAACGCACAAACACAGGAGGTAAGACCCAAACGTTATCTTGATAGGCAACTCACTTGCCAATGAATTAGCGACTCTTCCCAAAGACAAGTGCTTTGATGTAAATCCATGAAAGTATGATCGTTCATGGCAGGTTCGTTTTCGCTTTCCACGGAGCGTCTCACCATCTAACGCGGTCATGCTTCACCAGACATGTGCATCTGGGATTATATTCATATTTACAGTTCGCGTCCATTTTAAGTGGTCCAGAATTGGTGGTTGCGTCTAGGCTTACGCACCTACGATAGTCGTTTACCAAACACATCCTCAAGTATTCCTAAATTAACGGCTTATGTATGGAATAAAGCGGTTGTGTATTCCTAAATATATATAGGCTAATATTATCAGCGCGTACCAAAACATTAAAAAACATGGCTCGTTGCGTTTATGCATCCTTGCTGTCACCGCAGATGACCTTGCGTTATGATCTTGTGCTTTGAATCTAACGTATAATATTTTATTTAGAAATTTGGCCCTGAAAAATAAAGTTATGAATGATAAAACGATTAGAATATTTTTTTATGAGATGTATAATGATAGTGTTAAAAATGATTATACCACTTGCACTTTAAGATTTACTGTAACATGATACTCAAAAATTAAGTAAAATCCTGAAATGTTCTGTATGCTTGCTTCACCTGCATCACTGAAATTCGACATTTCTGTGCTCCGACGTGCACTATACCTTCATTTTTTTTACTGTAGTCTATTGTTTATACCGGACCCATGCTTGCTTGTTTATTATGCATTCCGGCAGATGCCATAAGAAGTCTTGTGTGCACTACAATTGTCTGCTAAACTGTTAGGCTAGTCATGCAATTAATCAGTTAAAAACAAAATATACATGTATTCCTTAACCTTTAAGCGTTTTAGCCCGATTAGAATATTTTTTTTATGAGATGTATAATGATAGTGTTAAAAATTATTATACCACTTGCACTTTAAGATTTACTGTAACATGATACTCAAAAATTAAGTAAAATCCTGAAATGTTCTGTATGCTTGCTTCACCTGCATCACTGAAATTCGACATTTCTGTGCTCCGACGTGCACTATACCTTCATTTTTTTTACTGTAGTCTATTGTTTATACTGGACCCATGCTTGCTTGTTTATTATGCATTCCGGCAGATGCCATATAAAGTCTTGTGTGCACTACAATTGTCTGCTAAACTGTTAGGCTAGTCATGCAATTAATCAGTTAAAAACAAAATATACATGTATTCCTTAACCTTTAAGCGTTTTAGCCGATTGGTAGATCTTAGTTTGGTAGCAGGTTAATCAAGTAAACCATTGTTTTTCTGATCTGTGATGGTTGAATTCCCACCTTTAGTGTCATTTAGCAGGAAACCATCTTATTTGGGTCTTTTTGAACTTCATCACATTAAAGGTAGAGAAGAAGAAACATCTTCATTTTAGAGATATTAGCCTAGGCAATATATCTGCGGTCAATATTTATATTCAATAAAGGTCCGAATTAAAATAGAAGTGCAAGAACAATTTATTTCACCTGCTAAAGGTTTTTTCCAGTAAAATAAGTGTTTGTAGTTACAGTTAAAGGGTTAATCATGGCGCATAAATGAAGTGATTGGCGGATGTTTACATGTGAAAGAATCGATGCAGAAAGTGTTATGAATTGTCAGTCAGAAGAAGCATGCTGGACTCGTGGGAGGCATAACTTGCAGATCCATTTGCTCAAATGAAAAGACTTTGATGCTTAAGAGATCTGGGCTTCACCGGAATTTGTTTGCCAAGAGGAATTATTCTATGGGGTTTCCAGAGTTATGGAAGGCACATTTCCAGGCCTGAAAATGTCAAAGAAATTCGTAAAATCTTGAAACGTCGTGGAAAGATGGAATTTTCTATTGGTAATGCACAATTTTCTGTTGTTATGTTTAGCTATTAAATTATATAATTGCTCTCTGTGCATGCAATCTTTATAAAATGATTGAAAACCTTAGCCAGTTAAGTAGTGTAAAATTTAACTGGTCAAAAGCTGTAGGAGCCTTGATTCTATTTAAACACTCAATTAATTGATTCCAGTTTATTTAAAATACATATAACTACAGTAGTATAGAAGGATGTATTAATATTACAACACAGTCATTTTAGTATTATAATATGGCACTATTGCTCTATTTAAGCGTCTATATTTATACTAATTCATCCATATTTATTCACTTAAATGGCTCTCTGGAAAATTACAAAATAGAAATGCAGATTTTTTTAAAATAATTCATTTAGTGTTTTGTATCTCTAAGAGTTGATAAGACATAGATAACTATGTGGAAGGGAATGTTCTAGTTTTTCCCATTTATATTAAAAGAGTTGAAAAAATATGGCATGTATTAACATGGTTGAATCTGTTTAGGGTCAACATGTACCCGTAGTTTCCGCTTTGTGGTTTATAGTTAAACACAAGACGTTAGTTAGTGTGAATCTGAACCATTTATGTCGTTTTTTTGGACCGCTTTTGAGATGAAACTAAGGATCCAGTCCTACGACAATATTATGTCTAATTTGTTTTCTTATAACATTTACTGTCTTTGATTCGGTGTTTACATACTTGTTGGATTAGTATCATATTTTGTTTGACTTGCATATTGTTTTAACTCTTTATTTATTGGATTAAATCATGATGTGGATGACAAATGATTGCATTTTAAAGGCTGCCTGAAAAACAAAGTTACAGGCATTAAGATGAAAGTCAATTGGCTTAAAACCAAGAATAATTTTCCTGCCAATTGATCGTTACGTCTTCGACTTCAAGTTCACCAAAGAGCCTCTCTCCACGTTCCCGAGCTGTCTCATAAGATGTAATGTTTTAATTTTGTAAATGGATGGACTGGCACAGTACAGGTTGTTTTAGGGGATACAGATGTTCTAGCTGGATGGCGTGAGGGGACTGTGACCCTCTAAGGCTAGAAGAAAGCGTGGAAGTGTGTGTGTGTACGATCCTGTGTTGTTTTTACTATATAAAGACTTTTTTGGTTGCTGCTCGGCACTGAATTTGTGACTAGCCTTTTTTTTAGATTCTCTTGCTTGTGCATTTCTGCCCGCAGGATGAGAAAATAGATGCGGGATCTGTCTTAGAAAGGGTTGTTACATAAACATGATTTGCCAGCTGTGTTTGAAGATTCACCTCCACCCCCTTAGACATTTATACGGGGACCAATAACCGAATAGTCGTTCACTAACATCCTACAATGCAATACTCCCACCAGTTTTCAGATTAAGCGCACAGGTTTTTGCTACGGCTGTTTTTGATAGGCTCAGCAGAAATACATTTAGGGTGCGCTGCATTCTGCTCCCCCATCGTTTGTTTGTTTCGCCTCTAATCACGGTTCTGGGTCGGGGCGATCGTTACTTCTTTCTTCCCGAGTCCATCCCTCTCATTTCCCCTCAATAGCAGCAAGTCATTGATTATCCAAGCAACGCTCTTTCTATGGATCACCGTACGATCACGAAGGGGGCGCTGCTTTGTTTTTTTCTTTAATGCACTGCGTCAAAGAAAAAAAAATCTCATGCAGGATGGCGAGGATTTGGGAGGGCGTTGTAAAAGGCGGCCCCACATTGGATGATTTGCTCGCCTCTCTCGGCTCGTCTGCCGTGGAATGGAGGATGGGACCTGAGATGAATATGGATGAGATGAATGAAAGAAGCAATGCTAAAGCTTCTCCTCGAGCCTTCACGCTTGATAGAACAAAGCATGCTGCTTTCTCTCACGTGCGACAGAAAGCGAGTAGTATGTTTTATTCCGAGTGCAATGTTTATATCGGAAGCCATTTTGGTCAGGCAGTTGCTTGGACAGCCGCGCAGGGAAAGTGGTCCTTTCATCACTCCACTAAAATTAGATGTATGTTTGTTGTACTTAAGCACAAATGCTATGTAACCCAATTATGAATCTGAAATCTTGTATGCATGGTATAAATCTACAATGCATACAAGAAAGAAGAATCAAAGTGTTCGTAGCTTTATTGCTTTGTGCCTGTTTTTTTAAGGCCCCCAACATAAGCCCACAGGAACCTTCAATCCTCAAGCTGATGTTGCTTATTCTGAACCACAGCTGTCTTGGGAGCCTCTAGCAACCAATGATTTGTGTTTACAACCACTGGTTTATTATGAGTAATACCCATTTGGGCTTTTTTATTAATTATTCTGACTTCTCAGTGAGTGCGATGCATGTAATTATATAGATGTACACACAAGACAGGGCTTATTAAGATATTAAGTAGACTGAAGGGGAAAATAACAGCGTACTACCAACTTGTTCTTGTTTTGTTCCTGGTGTAGCACAATGGGAGGGACTCATTTCCCTCAAAGGCACTGTTACGGATATGCGTGTAGTGTAATCCACTGATTTTTCTCAGCCAAGGGCTTTGTGTTGACAAGTGACAGGAAATAAGTTTGATCCAACTCAAACTTGGGCAGTAGATGCTCCATGTTTTAGAAGAGAAGAAACTGATAATGTCTTTTGAAACAAAACTGATTTTGGTTTATACTGTAGGTTTACTAGGAATATTCTGGGTTCATTAGTCCATTACAAGTTAAGCTCAGTCAACGGCATTTGTGGCATAATGTAGATTACCTCAAAAAAATGTAATTAAATAAAAAAATTAAATCGACTTGTCCCTCATTTTTTTTAAAAAACGGAAATATTTAGGGTATGGTGAAACACTTATGATGGAAGTGAATGAGGCTAATATTCAGAGGATTTAAAAGCAGAAATACGAGGCTTCAAAATTTACAAAAGCTCTTTAATTGTTCTGTTAATTCTTGTGTATTATTTGAGCTGTTCTTGTCATGTTTATGGCCATTTTAGGGCTTTAGGTGTTACGTTGTCATGTTGTAAACCTGGATATAACTTTCCACAGAAGAGGTTAGTTGCACTAAAATCACATTAACACATATTGTTTACATCTTGTGACTGAAACTACTGGATCAGTGTTTACAGATTGGCCCCCATTTATTTCCATTGTAAGTGCCTTACTGTAATTTGCTTTGTTTAAAGAAAATGAAGCATAAGTACAAATTAATTATTTTTTGTTGTAATGAACATTATGCCACAAGTGCTGTCGATTGAGTTGAACTTGTATTGAACCTGGAATAGTCTTTTAATTCAGAGCAAATTAATGAATGTATTATTCACTGAACAATGTCATCAGGCCATGTTTGATTTAAAATAATTGTGGAAATGATTGGAAACCAAGAAGTCATTGCTATAAAGTTCATTATTTCTTCATCCTGTATCTTTATACATGACATCAACATTCACAGGTATGTTCTTGATTCTCGGTTTAAAGGTGGACTCTGTCATTGTTCTGTACTTCACCTTGTTTTGTTTTTCTATCTGACATTTCCACAAAGATTAATTTTCTCATTCGCATTCTTTTAGAGAGATGCAACCAAGCGGCCATCCATGATCCACCATTTTCATCATCAGATTTTGTCGGATTTCACGGTAATTTGTTTCATTTTCTGCAAAAATTACATACAGATTTTGTTGTCTGCAAACCAGAGTCTACCTTTAACTCTGTGCTGTTTCTTTCTTTCTTTTTCACTGCATAACCACCATAATGCTTTGTTATATTTTGCTGCTCATAATTAACAAAGTAAAATGTGTAACCTTCAAAACAGCATAATAATAATAAAAATGTGTAACCTTCAAAACAGCATAATAATAATACAGTTACATTAATTAGAGTAGATAATGTCAATTATAGCCAGACTGGACGCAGCCTCTTGATCCAATTCATGACAGACTTTTGTTAGATGCTTTTGAAGAGAGAATACTTATGTATGCATGATACACATTATTTATGAACCCTGCACCATATTAATCAAGGTTAAATTTAGACTCATCCAAATCAAAAGGAGGACAGTCTTAGCTCAGTGAGAAATCTGGGTCATTGCAGAAAAGCATGTATCTGTAGTGTTCTGTAGACACAGTTTGAACCGCCTGTTTATGAAGTGCGAATACAACGGCAATTTTTAGTATGAGAGTGAAAAATCAGGATTTGTCATTTAGAGGTGTCTGCGAACCCAGTTCTGAGTACTTGTGTATTTGTATTTGTGTCACAGTAACCTCCATTATTCCCTTGTTGTTTATATAATTCATAATCTGGTGGCATCCAGTACACCTATTCTGGCTAAATATGAGACTATACTTGTTTAGTTAAGAGATCCACTTCATTACACATCCAGATCAATTGGCCTGTGATTCTAATGAGATTACTTCAAGAAGACTTAAACATTGTTAAAATGATACCATTCCTTACTGTTAAAGGGATAGTTCACTCAAAAATGAAAATACTGTCATCATTTATTCACTCTCAAGTTGTTCCAAACCTGTATGATTTTCTTCTTCTGTTATACATAAAATAATATATTTTAGAATATATTTTAAACATATTTTAGAATGTTCAAAATATGGTTGGCCCACACTGACTTGGGAATAAAATACCATGGAAGTCAAATGGGTACCAGAAACAGATTGGTTACTCACATTCTTCACATTATCTTTTTTTTATGTTCAACAGAAAAAAGAAATTCATACAGTTTGTTTGAGGGTGAGTAAATGATGACAGAATTTTCATTTTTAGGTGAACTTTTCCTTTAAAGAGGTAATTCACCTATAAATGAAACTCACTCTCATGTCATTCCGAACCTGCATGACTTAATTCAGTGAAATACTAATTGTTTTAAGAATATTCAGACCACTCTATTTAATATAATAAAAGTGAATGGTGACTGTGAATCCCCAAAATGACAAAAAAGCACCATGAAAGTATCATAAAAGTGGTCCATACGACTTGTGCATTATATCTGAAGTATTCTGAAGTCACACAGTAGTTTTGTATGAGAAACAGATATAAATGAAGTCATAATGCGTTGAAAATGTTGACGTGTGTTTGACATTTGCAGGTTTAAATTATGGCTGAATCATGAAGAATCAATCTGTTGAGTCAGATCTTTTCCATGAATCAGCTGATCCACATCACAAAACCAGTGTGAATGATTCATTCATGAATCAGACTTGAGTTCAACTCACTGAATCCATGATCTGCTGACAACACTTACTAGCTCAGTGACAATTACAAGTTCAATTTTGCTCAATTCGCCACACAATCCTGCACACGAGTCGTATGGACTACTTCAATGGTTTATCAGAAAGCTCCAATTCCCATTCATTGTAAATACGTGGTAAAGTCAGATTATTTCATTAATCAAATTTACTCCTTTTGTGCTCCACAAAAGAAAAAAGGCCAGTTTTTAAATGCTATAAGGTGAACAATGATTTTGAACCTTATCTATAATATCTATCTACTATATCAATACTAACCCTCTCTATGATTTCCTGCTCTAAACAATCTGATCTGTCACGTCCATCTTGTTAACAGAAAGCTAACACTTCTCTTAATTTGGTTCACACATAACTACAGACATGTGTCATTACTTTGCCACTGATGCAGTTAAGTCGGGCCTTCAACCAAGACATTGTCGTCATTGCCATTGTTAGCTCATTTGTTTTTCCAGCTGCACTCTGACATTAATACTCTGTCCAGTAGTCTCTTTCATTTTTACCCAATCATCAGTGTTAGGCTGCAAGTGCATGTAGCTTAGCCTAGCCATCAGCCTAGCTTGACAAGATAAACTACTTCTCCAGAATAACAATCTAATCTAAAGTGGCCGTCTTCTGGGAGCCGACACAGATTAATTGTGGTGGAATATTAAGCGCGTACCCAAGCGGCCCAGGCACAAGGATACAATGTCATGTTAAAGTCACGGTGAAGGGACCATGTACTGTGCTTGTGCTGACCTGGATATGCAGCAGCCAGGTAGAGCCCAACAATAGATGAGGCACTTTACTGCCCCACCACTGCTCCACTTTCAGGAAAACCTTTGCTGACCTTTCTCAAGAGGGAAGTGAAATCAGGATGTCTTGTGCTATATTATAGGCACCTTACTATTCATTTGCTATAAATGGCTACTTTACAATGTCTAGCTTGCCAGTTACATAGAACGTGAGTCTCTTAATACGTCTTACTTTGATTGACGTGTTTAACAAAATGTACCGTCATCCCGGATCTTTCCTACTTACATAACTTGCAATTTTTTTGTTCCGTTTATGTTCTGCTCTTGACTGTTATCGGCCCTCCTTAACTTAAGCGTTAATACTTGTGGTTCAGCGTTAATTACTACTCGTTAAGTCCACTGATCTTATTATAGTGGTCTTATAGTTCTTTGCTGGTATAGTATTTCAGCTTGACTTTTATTTATAGCTGCCTTCTCTGATCGCCTCTTATATCAGATCTAGATATGCGCTTTCTCATAAGTCAGGCATTTAAGGCATTTAGCAAGAATGTGAATCTATGCATTGTGCGGCCATATTTTATATGTGCTAAAATAAAACAAATTGGACACACCTCCTCAGTCTTTATCACTTTATTCTACATTTCATAATAATAATAAGCTATAAAATCTGTGATGTAGCACAAATTGAAGGATGTGGCGTATTTAGTGGCCAAAAATGTTGTTATCTTATATTTTAGCTTGCTTAAATTAGCCACCCTTTGCTAGATTACACTCTGGGCATTCAACCAGCTTCATGAGATGCCACCTGGGATGTTTTTTAAACTGTATATATTATTAAAGATGTTCCCATGTATCCTGAACACTTGGCTGCTTTTTCTTCACTCTCCCTGCTCACATTCATCCATTAAAAATTTTATAAAAATTTTAGTTATTGTAGTAATTTATGTATGTCTACAAAAGTAGTTTTATGCATTTAAGAGTAAGCAAAAATGCATAAAATAAATGAAGATGTCAGATTACAGAAAAATGTATATAATATTTATAATAATAGTTGTACTTATTAGATTGCAGAAAATGTTTAAATCTGTTGCAAATATGTATTTATTTAAAATAATATTTAAATCTATTGTAAATTGATAATTATTAGTAATAGTAGTAGTAGTATAAATGTTAAGATTACAGAAAATTGTATTAAAATCTGTTGTGTATATATTTATTTATTGTATGTTTATATATATATATATATATATATATATTTATTATTTATTGTATGTGTAAAAAAAAAGTGTAAATCTATTGCAGAGTTAATTTTTTCTCTCTTTTTCTGTTTCCAGAGGAAGGCGAATATTTCTTGAAGGTGCTGATTCCAAGCTACGCCGCAGGCTCCATTATTGGCAAAGGTGGTCAGACTATCGTCCAGCTACAGAAAGAGACAGGGGCCACCATCAAGCTGTCCAAATCCAAAGACTTCTACCCGGGTAAGTCTCCTAATTCCAGAAAGTTTTGAAGGGAACCCTTGTCAACCTCCTCTTGTTTACTGCACCACCATCCAGTCATTAAAAAGCACACATTTCAAAGCACCTGGATTATATTATAGCTTAATTAACCCATGTTATTAGTCTATGCTAATACATTACTAAAGGAAACTCGTTCCCAAAGTCACTGCGACTCGTTCTTAATGAGAATCATATGGGGCGCTGTCACCTTATATATATTTATTATTTATTGTATGTGTAAAAAAAAAAAGTGTAAATCTATTGCAGAGTTAATTTTTTCTCTCTTTTTCTGTTTCCAGAGGAAGGCGAATATTTCTTGAAGGTGCTGATTCCAAGCTACGCCGCAGGCTCCATTATTGGCAAAGGTGGTCAGACTATCGTCCAGCTACAGAAAGAGACAGGGGCCACCATCAAGCTGTCCAAATCCAAAGACTTCTACCCGGGTAAGTCTCCTAATTCCAGAAAGTTTTGAAGGGAACCCTTGTCAACCTCCTCTTGTTTACTGCACCACCATCCAGTCATTAAAAAGCACACATTTCAAAGCACCTGGATTATATTATAGCTTAATTAACCCATGTTATTAGTCTATGCTAATACATTACTAAAGGAAACTCGTTCCCAAAGTCACTGCGACTCGTTCTTAATGAGAATCATATGGGGCGCTGTCACCTTTGGGCTTGCGGCCACACCATATGGCCTTTATCAGAGCTCAGGTTGCAAAGAGTGCCAGATCAAGTGGGGACAAAGAGCCGAGAGACTCACAAAGGAGCAAGTACAGAGTTCAGAGCGTAAATAAATGCCGATGCAATGTTTGAATGGTTCCCTTCTAGTAATGTTTATATTTAGAGAGGAAAAAGAAGCATGTTTTGTGTTCGTGTGTGTTGGAATTCTTTCAGATGTTTTTAGGGATGGAGTGACACAGAGGAAACGAGAAACGGCGGGGGGCTTCTGGGCTCTTACTTAAAAGGGCTTTGTACGATTTACTCATCCTTCCATCGTTGGCACGTCCAACAGGGCACCTCTGTCCCATTCCCCTTGGGATGTGGAGCACAGAGCGATGGCCAGCCATAGCAGATGCCAAATGCAAGACACCTCCTACCCACCCCCCTTTCATTGGTTTTGGCAACCTTGTGTGCTCCAATGTCTAGAGCTGGGGAGGTTGCGATGGCTACTGAATTAAGGGAGAGGAACGTACGGGAATAGTCACCGGTGCTGTGCTAGGTTGTTCAAGTGCTTAATGGGGGGCTTCCTCTCCAGTGAAGGGGGCATCTGTATGGAAATTAGTTTGAACTTTTCCTTGGGTGCGAGTCAAAAGATCCACCTGCTGTGCTGCTCTCATTGTGGGGAAGGAGGGAACGTTTTAGCCGGTTAAGGGAGAAGTGTCTGGTGTATCTAAATCGCTAAACCGTTTAAAGAAGTACATCATGTCTCTGAAGATACCATTTGTGATAGAAGCTGAGCTGGCATTTAATTTTGGACAAAGCAGCACTGGCCAGAGACATCCATTATTTCTGTAGAACGGATTTATTAGTTGTCTTCGCTCTAAATATAGCTCCTGCAGCATTTATTGGGGAACAGCCATGCTTTACAATGACCTTACATCTGTGAAGTACACTGTTCCATCTTAAAGACACAATAAGAGACTGTTAAGTTAAATGTAGTTTATATGTTGTCATTTTTATTAACTAGCATGCAAATTCATGCAATTTCAGAACATAAACTGGATCTTACAGTTAAGTGGCCACTACTTAAGCATAGTTCACCTAAAAATGACAATTCTGTCATCATTTACTCACTCTCGTGTCGTTCCAAACCTGTATGACTTTCTTCTTCTGTGTAATACAAAATGAAATTTTTTCAAAAATATTTTTGTCCATGCAAAGAAAGTCAATAGGGTCTAATTTTATTTTATGGACAAAAACAATTGAAACATTTTTTTAAATATATTTTTGTGTTCCACAGAAAAAAGAGAGAATCATTCAGAAATTAAAAGTACAGAATTTCAATTTTTCAGAGAACTTCCCCTTTAAATGAAGTAAAGTTAAATATAGTTTATATGTTGTCGTTTTTATTAACGAGCATGCAAATTCGGGATGCTACAGTTAAAGGGGTCATATGATGCGATTTCAATATTTCCTTTCTCTTTTGGAGTGTTACAAGCTCTTGGTGCATAAAGAAGATCTGTAAAGTTGCAAAGACTAAAGTCTCAAATCCAAAGAGATATTCTTTATAAAGGTTAAGAGTCAGCCACGCCTACCTAAAACGGCTTACGTCACGATGTGGGAAGATTTGCATAACGCCGCCCAAATGTGCACGCAAAGAAAGAAGGTGTAACTTTTATTCTCGCTGTAGTATTGTTGCCGACGCCACCATGTCGTGAAGGCACTGTGTGATTCGTTGTGAAAGCGAAACTACTTTGTTTGGCCTTCCAAAAGAGGACGATATCCACTTTGTCATGCCTGGAGCTGATCCGTGCTGGTTGCTGAGGAAATACAACAATTTTGTGCTGTGGATTGCTGGATCGGCTTTCACCGTGGAGGAAGTGGAGTCCAGCCCGGGGTCGTCACATGTTGTTGCCGCAAGCCCTCCGGATGCTCCTTCGTCGAATCTGCTGCCTCTGCTCACTCTAGCCCTCCGTGTGTG